TGGGCGGGGCTTCTGGGATGAGTGGGGTGAGGCTGTGCCACCTGCACTGCACGGGAACCAAGGCACCTTCACCTGCTGGTTCAGTTCTTTGGTTCTGGTCATCTGCTGGGGTTGCTAGGTGAGGTATGGGTTTTGGGTATTTCGGGTGGTGCATCCCCTTCTGCATAGGGTTTGGACCAGTGTTCTCCTTAAGCATGAGGTTCTGAGGGAGCAAGGTGTCAACCATGTGTAAGCAGCCCGTCCATCCCACCCACCTGCATCTCCACTGGCACAGGGAAGCCCTGTGGGGAAGCTGTTGTCCACCTGCAGGGGTGCAGAGTCCAGGCTGGGGTATTCTTGAATACAGCTTTTTTTGAGACCCACAAGCAGCTTAAAAAATGGACACCTAAACATAATTGCAGAGACTAAATATGCTTTCGGGAAGGTGTTTCCACCAGGGGCTTGCAGGGATGTTTAACATATATTAACCCTCCCGCCTCCGTTAGAAAACTTTGTTTTTTGTTTTCTAAACTGAGCGCCTTTAACCCCTCCCTGGTTGAGTTTGTCGTGTGCACATGGTGACCAGCCAAGGGTGACACTCTCTGCCACTCAGGGCCGCCAAAGCGAGCATGACGCGAAGCCGGGACGGAAAAGTAGAGTGGCCAGTGGCTCCCCTAAAGAAAGTGAGGATCTTGGTATGGAAACCATAAAAGGAAAGCCAGAATTGGTACGTAACACCCGCCCCACTCCCTGCCCCAGCCCCCACAGCCGTGCTGCTCGCTGAGCGGGAACTGGGTCGGAAGGAAATGGGCTTCCCGTCTTGACAGGTTGTCTCCGCAAGCCCGTTGCCTCCCAGACCCACGGCTGCTTGGCGAGGGCATGCCCACTCGGGCGCTCTCAGAAGGGGCCTCGCAGCCACGTGTGGGCAAATGGGCCAGGCCGAACAACCAATGGCCGTTGAACTTGAAAGAACAGTCACCCAAAACTGTGCTTGGAAGACGCCCTAGTGACATAGCAAGGTGTTCATAAAATATGGACCGGACACATCAGGGCACTCGACTGCCTCCGCAGTATGTGTGTGTGCGTGTGCGCAGTCAGGAAATTAGAGGAGGGAAGAAGCTTCGAGACAGAGTTCACATAGTTAGAAGGAACTTCTGAAGTAGGCGGTCGTGCCAGGTTAGTGTCTTGTGAGTTTACTGGAGTGGGATGTCCATACACTTGAGGACATGTGCACGATGACCTGTGATGTGCTGCGTGTCTGGGAGTCACAAGTACTACAGAGCGTGGTGAGCGTTGATCACCTAACTGTGTGCCTCCCTCTACACGTAGCCACCAGTGGGTGGCCTGCAGTATGCCTTCTCTCCCCTGTCCATGGTCCTGACAGAGACTGGTTGTGCCGGGGAGACGGGTGTAGAGGAGAGTTAGGGTCCTGTGGCTCCTCATCAGCACTGTCATGAAGAGATACAACTTGGGACCTGCTGTGTCAGAGGGAACCTGGGGAGCACAGCCGGTGTAGACGATAGGGCATGTCAGTGCCTGGAGCTGTCCATGGAGTTCGCGTAGAGCCCGGGGAGGCAGGCGGGTCCCTCCCCACTGGTCTGTGCCATACTTGCCACTCAGCACATGGCATCTGCCCCACGGTCAGGGGTGGGAAAGGTCCGCCTGGAGTGGAGACTGGGGGAGAGTGAGGGCAGGGGGACCATCTTGCTGTGAGCACCCAGGGTGCGGGCGTGTGGGGCACCAGGTAAGTGGCTCTCTACACCTTTGCCTGGCTAGCCCCAGGGTCTGGGCAGCACGTCTGTGGCATTCCAGCCTCGTCTGTGGCATGAGGATGGGGCCTGAGGAACTTCTGTGGAGCAGTGGGGCTGTACAGCCAGGAGGTTTGGAAGTTTGGGGTTGACTGTGCAGTCTCCATTGTGCCACCTGGATCCAGGTGCTGTGGAGCTCGAGTGACAGAGAGGAGCCCTAGGGTTTGTCTCCTGGTCTGTTAGTCCCACATAATTCTGTTCCTGGTTTGAAATACTGAGTGTCATCTGGAACCATGGGGAAGATGTTACAGTTTAAATGACTGCATTTGGAAAAAGCAGCCCAGCTTTTCAGCTCAGGTTACAGAAGTTACCTTTGCCTGCTTACCCTCCACCCCCAAGCACAGCATTTTAGCCCAAATCTGCTTGACATCGCTGAGGTATCAGACTCGTTGTGGGGTGTCCACACGGGGCCTGGCTGGTGGTGGTAGCGCCCCAGACTCATGTGCAGTTTCATGCTGGCGCCTGTTAGACACGCAGGGCCTCAGCCAGTCCTGGCTCCTGACCCGCTCACCGCCTCTGCAGGCTCTGCCTGGTTCTGGCTGGCCACCCATTCCCAGCCTTCAACCAGGTGTCCGTGTGACCTCCACCCTGGTCTCTGCACCTGCTTACACCCCTGTTCCTGTAAGATGCCACCTGGCCTCTCCTGCCAGGTGCCAGATGCTGGGGCCTCGGCACAGGGACTGGCCTGCCTCCCCCAGCAGCCCTGGTGTGGTGGGACAGACCAGCAGGTCAGGGTGGGTGTGACTGATTCTGTGACTCTGAGGCCGGCAGAGACGAGGCCCCAGTGGGCCTGGTGACCGAGGAGGAGTTGCAGTTAGAAGGGCTCACAGTGCAGAGGGGCCACCTGCTTAACTCAGGGCCTTGTGTCCCACACACTCTGAACTGTGATGGCCCCAGTGGCCTTGTGGTGACTCCTGGCTGCTTCTCACTCTTGGTCACACCTGTCAGGCCCACCCAGCCGCCTCCTAGGGTCCAGCCCCATGGTGGCCATGCTGCCCTTGCCTGGCTTCACCAGGACTTTACCAGGAGAGGCTGGGCAGATGAACTGCAGACCCAGGAGCGAGTGGGCTGTGGGCTGCAGGCTGCAGTGAGGGTTGGGGCGTCAGACCTGCCCAGGAGTGCTGTGCACAGTATCCAGCTGATTTGTGGGGTCAGCCAGGCTCCGTGGTGCTGCCATCTAAGCCGTTGTCTCGTCTTTGCCCTCAGAGCTGCCTGGAGTTCAGCCTAAGGATTCAGGAGTTCATTGAACTCATCCGGCAGAACAAGAGACTGGATGCCGTGAGGTATGCTGGTGACCAGACAGGCTCAGGGTCTTGGTGGAGGGTGGTGTCCTCAAGCCCACTGGCCCCTGGGGTCAGAGCGGGGAGCTGCACTGTCTTGTCCTCGTGGTCCGGGTGCAGTGTGCGTCCTTGGGGTTTGGGTTCGTGTAAACCAGGGTCACTGCAAGGCCCCGGGCAAATGCCCCGCACAGCCGGGTAACTCTCCAGGTGTTTCTGTGTGGGATCCTGTACCTGGTGCATCTCACACTGTCCCTGTCCTGTTGCCCTTGGGGCGCTTCTGTGCATCTGGGTGGAGGTCGGGCCCCTGGCAAGCTGGGCTCTGGGCAGACCCTGAGTGTCCAGGTGTATACTGAGCTCAGACCCTTGAAGGTGAAAGTGCAAACTTACAAGAACCAAAACGCTGTCTTCTAGACACGCCAGGAAGCACTTCAGCCAGGCCGAAGGGAGCCAGTTGGATGAGGTCCGCCAGGTCATGGGCATGCTGGCCTTCCCGCCAGACACGCACATCTCCCCCTACAAGGTAACCTGCACCTGCGGGCCCGGGGCTGTGAGGGCCACTCACGATGAGCATGTCACCAGCAAGCCTAGTGGGCCTTTCCCCATTTTGTTCCCATTTTATTGCTGAGAATGGATCACAGGATTTCTCTGTGTTTGGGCCTGGCGAGCACAGTACCTCCCCCAACTCCTCCTGCTGGAGGCTCGCAAACCATGACCACATCTGCACGGCCTGCCCTGCCCTGCCATGCCATGCCCAGGGTCTCGGTACAGGTGTGTTGATGCCCTCCCAGTGGGTCACACTTGTCTCCTCCTCGGGGTTGCAGGGCTACACCCTCTGAGCTCTTTCCCAAATCCTTTAAGCTCTGCTGCCTGTCCATGAACAATTCCGACTTTAGTCATTTGTCCTGTCTCACACGTTATGTAAACACTGGGGAAGCCAGCTGCACCCTCAGCTCAGAAACAGCTTCCGCCTGGGGCCTCCAGCACAGAGCCGTTACAGGGCCATTGTCCCTCCAGTTCTAGTGACAGGTCCTTCAGTCCAGCTCAGCCACCACTAGCCTTTCCCAACTTCGTTTACACTATCGTCAGACTGAGGCTCCCCTTCCTGCCTCTGCTGCCCTCACCGGGGCTGCTGCCTGAGGCTTGTGCAGCGCCCACCTTGCACTTGAGTACTTCACCCCAGGGGCTTGTGGAGCAAAAAGGCCTCTTCGTCCTGGAGGCTGGGCCTGTGCCATGTGGGTGCTACAGCTAGGGAGGGGCCTGGTTCCTCCCAAAGGCCCCCTCCTATCGCAGGGGTTAGGGTTCACCATGGATCCTTAGGGGACACGTTCTGACCACGGCACCCCCGTCACTGTGCCCGAGGACTGAAGGAACCTCCTTCCTCATGGACTAAACCAGCCTTGCTATCTGGGCCTTGAAGCTGCTGTCCAGGGCTTCCCCTGCAACTTACCCCAGGGCTTACCCCAGGGCTGGGCCTCACCCACGTGCCCTCACAGCCCCTGGTGGGACCCACCCCCACCCCTGCAGTGCTTGGCTGCAGGCCTCTGCATGGCATCTGGGACCTTCCCCCAACTGAACTCCCACAGTTCTAATCAGTCTTGAGGTCGTGGTGGTGACCCAAACTTAGGTCTTAACTTGTGCATCTCCCTGCTCTGGAGAAGCTTTGTGGCAAATGTAAGAAAGGCCTGCCTGCCCTTTAGAGCTAGATGTTCAGCTCAGGATGGTCCTGGCACCCATGTCCCCCTCCCTGCGGGGCCTCTCGAGGGCACTTCTCAGGCAGGTGCTGCCTCCACCACCTCCAGGGCAGCAGGCTGGGCAGCCAGTGTCTCCTCCCTGAAGCTGAGCCCTCTGCCTGCCTGGGGTTCCTGGCAAACAGCTGTGCCCACCCCCTCACCAGAGTCAAGTGAGAGGCACAGCCCCTGGGCACATGGAGAACCTTGGCTCATAGGAAGCGGGCAGTTTAAGGCATAGGAAGCGTAGAGCTGAGATGCCCTGTGTCTTGGATGGAGCCGAGGACCCGAGCGTGTGAAGTGCGGCAGCTCCCTCATTCCCGGCAGGAGTCTTAGGTGGCTGTAAATGGGTCACACGAGAAGCAGGACGAAGCCTGAAGCAGAGGGTCTGGGCAGGAGGGCTTGGAGCTGCCTTTCCAGAGCTAGCCTCAACTGTGGGCTCAGCCCGCCGTGCACTGTTCAGATGAGAGTAATGTTAGAACAGTTTTGTTACTGTTGGAGTTGGGCGTGACGTGCTCCCTAGACTGGGGCTCACACAGGGTGGCTGGTTGCGCTCTCCTCCCCAATTGGTGTCAGGGATTTTGCTTCTGCATCTGTGCCCCCCCACACACACACACCTTTGAGTGTAAACCTGGTCATTTTAAGGACATTGACCGGATTTAGCCTTTATTTTCTGGAGTGAGGCTTTTCCACTCAGATCTCCTTGCTCCCAGCAAGAGGCTCCAGACTTGCTCAGCTGAGCTGTCCTTCCAGCTCATGGAGTCCTGTCCTTGTCACAAGACTACAGGATCCCACCTGCCAAGCACCCAGTGGGTTGGAAGGGGTCTTGTCCTGTGGCCCTGATCCGCGTGGGTGCTGTGTTTCATCCTAGCTCTGCCTTCTCTTCCAGGACTTGCTGGACCCGGCCCGGTGGAGGATGCTGATCCAGCAGTTCCGATACGACAACTACCGGCTGCACCAGCTGGGGAACAACTCTGTGTTCACCCTCACCCTGCAGGCCGGCCTTTCGGCCATAAAGACTCCGTATCCTTCTGTGGTGTGTCTGTGACCCTGTGCCTCACGGGCCCTGGCACTCATCATGCTATGCAGGCCCTGTGCTGACCCCACCCGGGGTGATGCCCCAGCTGGTCGTAGAAACCGGCCCTGGCACTGCCAGCACACCACATCCATGGAGAGCAGGCGTTTGTGTGTCTTCTGGCAGCTGGGACTTAGACCAGTAGAATATCTTCCCTTTGGCTTCCCAGAATCCTGCAGAGTGTCAGCTGGTCTGAGTCCTTGCTGTCCCAGTGGTGGTCATGTCTCCGCATGTGGCCAGAGAGCTGACAGTCTGACCCCGCATCTGTGGGTTCCTCTTGAGTGTACTGGGCGGTCCCTTCCAGGACTCCATCCAGGTTGTCTGCCTCTTGCTCGTATTCTAATGCTGGGCACATGGGTCAGGCCCTGCCTGGGACGGGACGAGTGGCTGTCCTGGGCCTGTGCTGAGTGCTCTTGAGAGGAAGTGCTTGTTTGTAGGCTTCCTGATGTCCAGTGTGGTGAGGGCCTTGTGGGGCTGGGTGAGCTTGTGCGTCCCCTGCTCTCTGTGGTGAGAGGGGCCTGGGGGCTCTGGCCTCTGGTTTCACTCAGGCTTCAGGCTCTTTTCCTGCTGAGCACAGCGTTTTTTTTGCCTTGAAAGAAAATTGCTTGTTCTCAGCCTGGTGGCTGTGCGGCAGTGAGTGGCCTCCACGCACCTGGCCTCACCCTGGATCCCTATACCCCGTGACCCTTCCTTAACCTGGGGCACAGACAGTGCTACAAGGAGGACGGCAGCTCCAAGAGCCCCGACTGCCCCGTGTGCAGCCGCTCCCTGAACAAGCTGGCGCAGCCGCTGCCCATGGCCCACTGTGCCAACTCCCGCCTGGTCTGCAAGATATCGGGCGACGTGATGAACGAGAACAACCCGCCCATGATGCTGCCCAATGGCTACGTCTACGGCTACAACGTGAGGGCGTGGGGACCATGGGCAGGAAGCTTGGGGTTTCTTGGATGGGTGCACCTTCCTTCAGGAAGTGACTTTGGCTAAACAGGATGGTTTATTTCCTGATGTTCATCATGTGGTTTTTCCTGATGTGTCTTGTCTTGTTTTGCAGTCTCTGCTCTCTATCCGTCAAGATGATAAGGTTGTCTGCCCGAGAACCAAAGAGGTCTTCCACTTCTCACAAGCTGAGAAAGTATACATCATGTAGGCCCCCGCCTGCACCCCTGCCTGCGGCGGTGTTCCTGTTCCTTGCGACCAAAGACCCGTGAGCAACAACAGACACTTGGGAGCAGAGGAAGGAGGAGAACAGCTTGTACTTGAAAACCACCTTTGGATCGCAGGACTTTGTAACGCGAGTCAACAGCTGGTGCTTCTGGGAAGGGCAGTCCCCATCCAGCCTGGAGACCCATTGGGCACCAGGGAGACTCGAGACATTTCAGAAACAGCTTCCTCCCTGTTGCTAATGATGGGCCCTGGGAACAGGTGTGTCCTGCGTGGTGGCCCAGAGCATTGGTGGCCCAGAGCATTGGTGGCCACCCCGGGTCTCCTGCTGCCACGGAAGCACCAGGAACATGGACTCTGCAGAACCGCTCCCACATGCCCAGCGCCCTCAGGTGGACTGGCTCTGGTCTCTCCTCCTGCATGGCCTGTGCGCCCCATGGGACCCACTGGACCGAGTCTGCAAGGCTTTGCGGTGGTTCCGCCGCTCAACTCTTAACGCTGTTGATCACAGAAACGAACAGTCTGGCTGAAGTAACCGCGAGGACTTGGGATCAAGTGAACCGTGTAGTCACACCGCCGTCCATAGAGGTTTGTACTTAGTGCTCATCTTTGCATGTGGATGTTGCTTAGCTAATAAACTGTAAATGTCAACCATGTTAATAAAAGGGTTTTCTATTTCTCATTCCGTGTGAGGCGGAAGCTGCTGTGCGTTTCTGACACCTCGGCCGGCCCATCAGTCAGCAGCATGCAGGGTGGGGCCCCACCAGCTGCTTGGCACTCCTGGTGGCTCCGCTGATGGGGATCCCACTGGGTCCTCTGGGCTCCTGAAGGAGAGGGTATCCCCTGCTGAGCAGTGTACCTTCCCATGCTCAGAGGCACCTGCTGAACTTGGGAGCCAGCGGTGGCCTCACCCCTTCTCCACAGCTGGTGAGGCCTCCCTGGAGCCGCACTCTTCCTGAGAAGTTGCTGGGCAGGGACTGAGTGCTGGGTCACACACGCGACCAGGGGGCCACAGGGCTGGGCTGTACGGAGTCTCAGGTAGGACTCAGGCCCTTTTTGAAGGGCCTCTGCCCTCTGCCCTCTGTGTCAGCCCCCAGGAGCTGCCCACCTTACTTGGGTAAATTTCTCTTAATTTGTGTAGCTTCTGTCGCTGTACCAAAGTGGGGCTCAGACACAGCTGGAGTCCATGTGCCCTGGTTCCCGACCCTGACACGTTCAGTGCTGTTAACTTCTGTCCCCATTGCTAAAGCCGCAGATGGTCCCCACAGCTCCCCCTGCCTACTCTCCACCTGGGCTGCACCTCCTGTTCTGTGGACCCCGCCTGCCTGCACTTCTCCCCTAGCCCCCCTCCCTGGGTGCTGGAACCTGTGGCTTCCTGACTGGGTGCTGGTTGTCCTCTGTTCCCAACCCATGCCTGGGACCACATCCCGGATATAGCCTGCAGGCCGGCACCATGTTCTGCTTTAGGGGAGCAGAGCGTGGCAGTACCACCCAGTGTCACTGGGTGAGAACAGGCATGCACAGCATGGTCCCTGGCAGCTGGCCCTGCAGCAGCCGCCTCAGCTACAGGCTGCTCTGCGTGCGTGACCCGCATGCGTGACCCATGCATCTGCATCTATGGACTTGCCTTTCTGGACATTTCATACAAGTATAACCACAGTATTTGGCCTTTTGTCCAGCTTCTTTTATTTATGGTGGGGTTTTTTTTTTGTTTGTTTTTAAATATATCTTTATTGATTTCAGGGAGAGGAAGAGAGAGAGAAACATCAATGGTGAGAGTCATTGATTGGCTGCCTCCTGCACGCCCCCTGCTGGGGATCAAGCCCAGGAACCCGGCCTGTGCCCTGACTGGGAATCAAACCCTGAACTCCTGGATCACAGGTCGATGCTCAACTACTGAGCCACACTGGCTGGGCTATGGTGATGTTTTAAGGCTGAAGGAGACACAATGTGTTCATCACCTCTCGACGGACACTTGGGTATTCCCACCTTTGGCCACTAAGCACAGCACTGCTGTGGACGGGCATGTCCAGGCTTTCGTGTGGGCCTATGTCCTTAGCACTTTTATCCCATTCTGCCCCTGCCCCAGGTCCTAGAAAACATCCAGTCTGCTGCTTGAGCACTTGTTTGTACTGGTGCCATGTTGAGCACCATGCTGAAGACGCCCCAGAGAGACCAAAGCACCTGGGCATCAAGCAGGCCTTCCTGAGGAAAGGCTGCAGCAAAACCTGGAAGAGGGGTGAAGCAAGGGCAGGGCACACAGCATGTGCAAAGGCCCTTAGGCCCAGTACAGAGCACCAGGCGCATGGATGCAGGGGCCTGGCTGTGAATGGCGTGAGAGCGACCTTCAGGGTCCTCCTCTGGGGTGCTCACCTGTAGCCCTAGAAACAGGTGATGGCCAGGTCGGAGTGCCTGGGGAGCACCTGGGTGCACATATCCAATGTGGCTGGACCCTAGTTTCCAGGCTGCACCAGGGAGTCCACACCCCTCAGCCTCCCAGGATAGGACTGGGGAAGTGGGGGTGTGGGTTGCAGGGTGGGCAGACCCAGGTCCGCCAGACAATGCCCACCGCTCAGCGGATGCCCACCGCTCAGCCGTACAAGCCATGGGGCAGGGGAGTGAGTCCTGGAGAAAGATGAGCCCAGGGAGGGTCCGGGCCAATGGGCTGGGAAGGGTGGTCCACCTGCACAGAAGCGGCTCCACAAAGAAGTGCGGCGGGGCAGGGGTGCCTGTAGGGACTACGCAGGCCCAAACCTTTAGGGGGTTCAGGGACCTGGCCATCCCGCCCCTCCCAGCGGACCTCAGACCCTCCTCCCCCGGCCGCCGCCCAACCGCCCCTTTCCACCTCC